GTTTTAATTCTGGGAACATTTATGTGATTATTTGTCAACTTTTTAAATATTGAATAATAGACTATTTGGTGTGTGCAGTTTATCAAAACACCCACGAAGCGACGCTGTGGACCGTAACACTGAAAGGCCCCTCCCTGAGAAAAATCATCTGTCTGTGCTTTTCAGCACAAAGAAACAAGAGCAGGCAGGGATCAGCCTTATGGAATCTGAGCTCGAATTAAAACATTAATCACGCTTTAACACATTTTAAATCTCAGTATTTAATTTCAWCAAGTGGATCTATTCTTTGACATTTTTTCAACGGAACTATGTTTCCACGGGATTTTTGGTGGCGTGTTTTTACATTTCTTTTCTTTGTGCTGCTGGATGGTTTCTGGGAAGCGTCGGCGCAGCTCTCCTACTCCGTTTCAGAAGAGGTAAAAGCAGGAACTAATGTGGGGAATATCGCTAAGGATCTTAACCTGAGCGTGCAGGATTTGGAGTCCCGTTTGTTTCAGATTGTTCCATCTAAAAAGAAATATTTCGAGGTGAACCTGAATACTGGCTTTTTGTATGTAAATGAGAGGATCGACCGAGAGGAGCTGTGTTCAGATGAGCCTAAATGCACCGTGAGCGTGGAGGCCGTGATTAACAACCCTCTGAAGCTGTACCGCATCGAGATGGAGATCAGGGACGTGAATGACCATTCTCCATCTTTTAGTACAAAATCACAGCTATTAGACATCGCAGAAAACACGCTGACTGGGTTTAAATTTGCCTTGTCTGAAGCAAATGACGCTGATGTAGGTAAAAACGGCGTTAGTGCTTATAAGCTCAGCCCAAATGAATTTTTTACTGTCCTAATGGAAAGAAGAGGGGAAAGTATAACTCCAGAGTTGCTGCTGCAGAAAGGATTAGATAGGGAGACAAATCCAAGCATAAAACTTATGTTAACTGCATTAGATGGAGGGTCTCCGCCAAATTCTGGGACATCAGAAATTCAAATAAATGTTTTAGATATTAATGATAATGCACCAGTATTCAGCAGCAGTATTTACAAGACAAAAACAATAGAAAACACCCCGATAGGAACGGCAGTATTCACGTTGAACGCGAGAGATGCGGATGAGGGAGCAAACAGTGAAATTGTGTACTCTCTGTGGAGCAAGGATCAGGATCACGTTTTAGATGTGTTTCAAATTGATCCCGCAACAGGGTTAATATCTGTAAAAGGCAGAATCGACTATGAAGAAAGGAAAGCGTTTGAGATCCGAGCGGAGGCGAGAGACAAGGGCCAGCCCCCTAGGTCCGCCCACTGTAAAGTGCTGGTGGAAGTCATAGACGTGAACGACAATGCTCCTGAAATCACAGTGACGTCACTGCTTAACACAGTGAATGAGAACGCAGCTGTTGGTACAGCTATAGCACTTGTTTCAGTTCTAGACAGAGACGGTGGTAAAAATGGAGAGGTGGCATGCGAAATTTTAAACACGTCTCCTTTTAAACTTGAAAGAAATTACAAAAACTCGTATTCWTTAGTCACGGATGGAGAACTAGACAGAGAAGTGACATCATCATACAATATAACAATTTCAGCGACAGATAAAGGGACTCCTCCGCTTTCAAACGTTAGTGTTGTTACAATTTATTTAGCTGATGTGAATGACAACGCGCCATATTTCCTGGAACCTGTGATAAACCTTTCTGTAAAAGAAAACAGTAAAATTGGCGCTGTCATAAAAACAGTAAATGCTTTTGATGAGGACATCAGTAATAATGGTAAGCTGAGTTATTCAATTTTAGATATAAATAGTAAATCATTGCCTCTCAATGCGATGGTGAACATCAACTCAGAGACTGGAGAAATAATCGCATTGCAGTCTTTTAACTATGAGGAGCTAAAAAGGTTTCAGTTTAAAGTTCAGGCCACAGACTCTGGTGTTCCTCCGCTCAGCAGCAACGTGACTGTAAATGTTTTAATCCTGGATGAGAATGACAACAG